ATTTTCCTGTAGACACCCAGAGGCGATAGCCTACTGTGGTGGGACCAGGCTGTGTGTTGATACAACCGTGGGGCTGGGCTGGGGCAGGAGGCGAGACCCTGGCTTCCTGCTTTGCTTCTCCTGCCACCCGCTTCTTTCTCCTCTCTTGCTTTCTCCGTCTTCTTCTCCCTGCTCTCCTTTCATATTCTTCTTTCCCCCTCCTTCTCCTCCTCCTCCTCTCCCTTCTTTCTTCCTTTCCAGTCCAGCTATAATGGGAAGAAGTCCCTGTAAGGAGCTCTGGCTCTTGGCCAAGATGGACGAGGACCTGGAACAGGAAAGGATCCCCACAATGGGGTTAGGGTTGCACACTGGGCCCCTCAAACCCTTGCTGAACCCCAGCTTTGGAGCACAAGGTGGAATCCAGGTCTGGCAGCTTCCCACAGTCTGGCCCAGCTCAGCAGGGAACCAGCAGTCTGCGCAATGTGACCATTGGTGACGGATGTTGGCCTCTGCCCATCTGGCTGCATCACTGTCAACATGCAGGTTCCATGTCCTGGGCTTTCTGCCCAGACACTCCCCTGCATAGCGGGCCCCAGGAGAAATCCGGGATTACAGCTGGTCTGCAGCCCCAAACCCCATCGTACCCCACTGACTGGCGTTGGCTACCCAGAAAGAAATAATTGAGGCACAGAGAATGGCAGCACTAAATCTCCCATGTGGATGGTCGCCTCTGCAGTCATGTTATTAGCATCTCGAGGGCAGAGCCTGAGTTGCCTTCATCTCTGCAACCTCCTTAGAACCCAGCACTAAGAGAGTGACATAGGACACACCTAATAAATACTGGCACTGACATGCAAACCCAGGTCTCGTACGTCAAGGTTATTAGGTATGTATAACTTCTCATAGTGTCTGCTCTAACTTGGCCAGGTGAGAAAGTGTCGAATAAAAAGGACTTAAGCGGGATTTCCGAGTAGCATCCTTTGAATCTGTACTCAAGGGGTGCTGCTTGGGAATCCCACTTAAATCCTTTTTATTTAAATGTGTGTGTGTGTGTGCATGCGTGCAACACACATGTGTACATGTATGCCTTTCCCCCAAAACTGGAATGCTGGATGCGGGCCATTTCTGCTGTACCTGCCACCTTTCGCGCTCCATTCTTTCCCTCTGAAGCCACCCGCAATGCTCAAGGCTTCTCTCTATCTACCACTGAGTTGGGGTCTGGGGAGGATAACCCCCAGCAACCACAGCCATGCACTGTGTGAACTTGGCTTAGACAAGCAAGTGGGAAAGTAAGTGGATGTGGTGACATAAGCCCTCCCGACTGTCCCCGTTCTAGGGGACATGTTGCTAGTGAGGGCACAGCTGATCCCAGAAGTACCATCCCCAACTCAGAGGACAGGATGTGAAGGGTTTGACCTAGACCCGGAGACACATGGAACTAGCTAAGTGGGGAGCGAAGCAAGTGCCCGGGTTTCGGGGGCTGCAGGCCAGGGCAGACTCTAGGTCTGCCATCCCTTGCTCCCCCAGTACCTGGCACAGTGGCTAGCCCACAGGAGAGTCACAATAGACACTGGTGGAATAAATGAACAGTAAACAGAACCTTAATTTCCTCTCCTGTTAACAGGAAATTAGAGGAATTCTGCTTCTCTTATCAGTGTGTTGTGGGGAGCAAAGGAGGTCACCTCAAGTGAAACTGGTTTGAATCCCAGCTCCGCCCCTTTCTAGCTGCCTGACGTCAGGCAACCTCTGGAGCCTCAGTTTCCTCATCTGTACAATGGAAGCAGTGACAAAACCTTCATGGGGTGGGGGAAGCTCAGTGCTTGGCATATTAGGCATTCGCTACTATTTTCATCATGTTTATGAAAGTGCTTTGAAAATTGCAAATGTTTGGGAATCCATTTCTGAGAACCAAACGTACTTTAGGGAAAGAGTTCATATGATAAATAAAACTAACAATAATCCTCATTGTCCTTATTGAGTGTCTACTAAACACCGGGCATTGTGCCGGCTTCTTTAAACACATCACATTGTGAAAGCTGTGGGTCCCCTATTGCTCCTGTTTTGTAGGTGAGGAAACTGAGGCACAGAGCGCTTAAGCTACTTCCCCAGAATTAGAGCTGGGAAGCAGTGCAGCCAAGATTTTGAAGACCAGGATCCCAGGCCTTCTTTCTTGGGAACCCAATACCCTCTGAGATTTACCGGTGCATCCTGGGAAGAGCTGTCAATGGACAGCAGTTACAGGTGAGTAGGGCTGTCTAGAACCAGGCCCCTTCTTTATCCTCCACCCTGATGGCTCAGGATTCTGATCTGTCTGGCTCTGTGCCGGAGCACTGTTCCTCATTCACTTTACCTTATGTAGCTCAGTGTTCCCACCCTGGCCCTAAGGTTTACATAAGGCAGCCCAGTAAACACCCTGCAAGCCTCAGGACTCCCGGGGAGAATGAGGATGGTCTACAAATGTGACTCTCACCCTCACCCCTTCTCAGGACCCCACTCCTGCTGGCCGTTTTCCTCCCGAGGCCCGAGCTGCCTGTGCCTGTGTGTGTGCCTCATGTGTGAGCATACACTCATGCCATGTGTCCACGTGTGCACACTTGTACACCACAGGGGACCAAAACACACGTTAGTACACCCGTGTCTTCACTATTTTTTTTTTTTTGAGACGGAGTCTCACTCTGTTGCCCAGGCTGGAGTGCAATGGCGCAATCCTGGCTCACAGCAACCCTCACCACCCAGGTTCAAGCAATTCTCCTGCAATTCTCTTGCCTTAGCTTCCCGAGTAGCTGCAATTACAGGTGCCTGCCACCATGCCTGGCTAATTTTTTTTTTTTTTTTAGTAGAGATGGGGTTTCACCATGCTGGCCAGGCTGGTCTTGAACTCCTGAGCTCAGGCGATCTGCCTGCCTTGGCCTCCCAAAGTGCTGGGATCACAGGTGTGCGCCACCACGCCTGGCCACTATCTGTTTTTGAAATAGAGGGAAAATCCTGCAAAGCTTCCCCACTAAGGCTTTCCTTTTCAGCAAATTCAAAACAGTTAACTTTCCTTCGACAAGGAGCTATGACAGAAAGAAAAATGATAAAAGTTTAAAAAAAAAAAATTTGGCTGGGCATGGTGGCTCACGCCTGTAATCCCAGCCCTTTGGGAGGCCAGGACAGGTAGATCACCTGAGCTCAGGAGTTCAAGACCAGCCTGGCCAACATGGCAAAACCCAGTCTCTACTAAAAATAATTTTTAAAAAATTAGCTGGGCATAGTGGCGGGAACCTGTAATCCCAGCTACTCAGGAGGCAGAGGCAGGAGAATCACTGGAACCGGGGAGACAGAGGTTGCAGTGAGCCTAGATTACACCACTGCACTCCAGCCTGGGCAACAGAGCAAGACTCCGTCTCAAAAAAAAAAAGAAAGAAAGAAAGAGAAAATTTAAATTTGACTCTTGACTCACTTTCTTCTCTCCCCAATCACATTTAGTAACAGAACCATTTTATTGGCGGAGAGTTCTCGTAGTGTTCACGATAACTTGGCAAGGTGGAAAAGTGTGTAAGCCTGTGTCCTTTCTGAAACCATTTTCTGGTCATTCTCATTTTATGAGAATGCCTGTAGCTGTCTGAGCTGCATTCCCCAAGCCACTGGGGGCAGCTCAGGCTCCAGATGACTGCACCACCTACATGATGAAGCCACTTATTCAGGTTGCCTGAGTCACTGAAGGCTGCTGTCCCCAGATCACGCTGGACTTCCTGCGAGTCACACCAAACCATCAACAGAACAGTTTCCACATTTGGGGTTTTGCCCCTAGAGACACTTTACAAAGAGTCTCAGTTCCTGGCCTCACTGGCCTGGCCTGGCCTGACTTCTCTCAGGTCTGAGACTGGGACGACCAGGGTGGGGAGATGGGGCTTATCCTGGTCATGATGATTCTGACTGCACAGGAGCACTTGGGAGCCAGGACGACTCTGGATCCTTCATAGCCAGGGACCATCTGTGCTTTTAAGATACCACCCCCCAACCCGTGCCAAGCCTCTCCCTAATGAAACTAGTGCCAAAGACACGAGATGGCATTTCCTTCGCGTCTCTTAGCTAAAACCAGCTAAGACTTCAGCCACCTTCCTCCTTGTTTTTCACTTCCACCCACAGCAAAAGAGAGAAGAGAGAGAGAGATCCAGAGCCTCTCCCCGACCAAGTCTTCCAAGAACCACTTAAGTGGGGTTGGCACTAGGGCTAAGGTTGGGGTAGTGATACATAGGCCAGAAAGCCCAGGCTTTTCTTTTCCAGTGTTCCCAGGTCCCCCTGTCCCCACTTCCAGAGAGCAGAGCCGCCCTCTGCCTGTCCGCCAGAGAGCATCCAGTTCTTGCTGCCCCACACTGCTGCAGGAAGTTAGCACCTGCAGGAGACAAGGGTTTCTGGACAGCTGGGGCATCCTGCAATGGGAGGATCCAAGTCCCCTGCAGGCTACTACGCTTGGAGGCCATTTTCTCCATTTTATAATAAACATCCTGGGACTTCATCACCACAACGCCCCCCCCTCCACCACTGGATGCAAACAGGGGGTTTCTTCCCAGCCTACTCATCCTGCCTGCTATAAGGGTAGGGACAAAGCAAGCTCTTAGAAGGGGCTTTTGGCTTTACAGTGAGAATTTTAACTAGAGCTAGTTTTCCCCCTCTGCTAAATTCAATTTCTTGTTCACCCCCCTGATCTATTAATTTTCCTGTTTTCTCCCTTTTGGACTCAGCTCACTGATTTTGTTTCATCTCATAGAAGACTCAAATATCCAGTGATTTAATTAACCTCACCAGCTGTCTGGCTGTCCCAGAGGACCTGCCTTCTCTGCCGCTGGCCTTAGAAAACGATTCCCTTTCCCCTTCCTCTCTCTGGCCTCCGCGTGGAGCCCCAGGATCCCTGACCTGCAGTTGGCTTCCCAGCCAGGCGTCCATGCAGCGGCTGGATGTCTCCCAAGGGGCTCAAAGTGTCCGCCAGAAGGGTACAGGCCCTCCGCCGCCCAACACACACACCCCACAGGCGCGGGTGGGAAGCTGCCCGAAGCCCTACGGCTGCAGTTTTATTACAAGATTTCTTTCCAAACGCAAAATCAGGCCAAGACGCTCACCGACTCTGACGCTTCACATCCTCACCCACTCTCCCCGCACCCTGCTCCCAAGCCACCCACACCAACGTACACACAAAACTCCCACGCGAGCGACCTCAGCCCCAAATGGCATCCCTGTACCCACCCCCATCCTGGCCCGAATGTCTTAAAAACAACAACAAAAAAAACCTGATAAGAACCCTCGCCCCCTACTCTCCCATCCCGCAACGGTGCAGCGTACACAGGACCAAGCCGGCGTCCAAGTCCCTTCCCGCGTCCCCGCCGAGAGTCTCGCCGCGTCCCTGCTAGGACGCCCCAGGCACGTCGCTGCCTGCTCGGAGGCGGCGGCAGAGCGCAGAGAGCAGGGCGAGGGTCCAGGTCTCCTGTGTCCTTCTTGCAGTCGCGCTGGCGAGGGTGGGCCCAGATGGCGCTCAGTACAGCCCCAGGATGGCGGCGCCCACGTCCTTGGAGGGCCGGCGCTCCTGCACCAGAAAGTTGATCATGCTCTCCGACTTGATGAGCAGGTTGCAGCCCAGGAAGAAGACGCCGAAGACCACGGTAAGCGACAGCACGCAGAGCACGGCGATCTGCGCCACGCGCGACACCCACAGGCTGCGCTCGTCGGGCGCCAGCCCCGCTGGGACCCCGTCGCTGGCGGCCAGCGGTGCGCCCCCGGGGCAGCAGCCCAGCCACGTGCCCAGCCCGTGGCTGCGGTTCCCCAGGGCGGCCCCGGCGCCGCCACCCACGTCGCCCACCTCCTCCAAGCCGCTGTGGTTCAGGAAGGTCGCGTTCATCGCCGCGCGGCGCCGGGGGTCTCGGCGCGCAGTCCCGTGCGCACTGGGCTGCTCGCCGGCGTCCGCGCTCTCCGGGAAGCTCCAAGCGCCTCCTACCTGCTCGTGCGGTGCAGGGAGGAGACGAAGGCGGGAGGCTGCCCGCGCGATGGCACCTCTCGGGCAGCCTACCCCTGGGCACTGGGCGGGAAGCGGCCGCCAGGAGGAGCGAGCAACAGGCGGCGCGGGAGCTGGAGCCGGAGAACCGAGTGCGCGTCGCGGTCGCCCGCCGGGTTCCTCGCGCGCTTGGCCGCCCCTCCCTTAGCAACGGCCCGGCCCCGCCCCGCCGGTCCCCGCGGCGTCTCCGGGGGGCGGGAATCCCGCCGCGGGCGCAGCCTCCTCGGAGTCCCGGGGCTGGAGGAGGTCGGGAGATCGGGCAGCCTCTGTCCTAGGGCCGGCGAAACTCCACCCTCTCCTGGCACCCGGTGTCCGTTATGGGCTAGGAAACCTCCCCAAGGTGCCCATTCCAGGATTTGATACCCTTAGCAGTGAAGTTATTCCGGAAGTCTGCCCTGACTCTCTTCTCTCGTTATTTAAGCCCTTGTAAGCCTTGCTAGAGCTCAGAGGAGTCGCCGGGACCCCTGGCGCTGCCCACCCCACCGGCCCCGGGTCTCCTGGGCGGTCCCGCCTCCCAGCTTTCCCAGGGTGAAAGCTGTCGCGATGAGGCGGGCTCTCTGCCTCCTTCCCTACTCCCTCCCCTCAACTCGGTCCCATTTACTTTTTTTTTAATTAAAAAAATAAATTACTGGTTTTTTTTCCTTTCCTTTTTACACAAACGTAGTCATTGTAGACTATTTAGAAAACATGAATTACCAAAATGAAAAAGTTCTAAAATCTTATAATCCGGCTTCATAGAGAGTGTCGATGTTATCACCTGGGTATAAACTCCTCCAGATAACAGAAATGGGGATGTACTGTTCCTGCTTACTGCCTCGTTAACCTTTCGTCACTTAACAGTGTAACTTTCCATAGCGATGGTCAGCTGCAACTACAGCTCTGAAAAATTGGAGGGTTTATTAAAACCCAGATTGCTTCCACCTCCTGCCCTCAACAGCTCCCACGTGATGCACAAACTACTGATCTACAACATCATTTGTAGTAAAGGAATGGCATTTTAAGGTATGGACCACTGCAATTTATTTCACCAAGTTTCCCCTTGTATGTCTAAGTTTTTCTTTCCTTCTTCCTCTTTCTCTTTTTGCTTCTCCCTTTCCTTCCTTCATTTCCTCCTTCCTTCCTTCCTTCTCTTTCTTCCTTCCTTCCTTCCTTCCCCTCCCTCCCTCCCTCCCTCCCTCCCTTCCTTCCTTTTTCATCAGAAACAATATTACCATAAAGAGCCTTGTAACAAAGTATTTGTGCAATATTATCATAAAGAGCCTTGTAACAAAGTATTTGTGCTGGAACTGTGATTTTTATTTAGATTATATTTTGAAAAATGGACCTCTAGAATCAAAAAGTATTTCCTACTAAATTGCTCTCTGGAAATGTACCAGCGAACAATCATGCCCTGTGGGAAAAGAGGGCTCCTCACAACATCGTTATTATTATTTTAAAAGTCTTTGCCTGAGTGGGGAGCGAGGGCAGGGATTGTTTCTCACCATCCCCGCATGTGTGTGTTAATTTCCATGCTTCGATTGTGGCAGGAGAGTAAGGAAAGCACTTTGTTATTGCAATAATGCAGGCAAAAGATGCTGGCTGGAGACCTGAATGCTGGTGGTGGCAGTGAAGTGGGAGACAAGGGGATAGAAAGGGCTTGGCAAATTGGAGTGAAGGGATTCAGGATGCCCCAACACAAAGGCATCTCAGAGCCCCTGTCCCCTGTTGTGATTTGAATACATCTCCTGAAGTTCATGTGTTGGAAACTTGATCCCCAATGTGGAGGTATTGGGAGGTTGGGGCGTGATGCTGCCATTGTTTGAGACGGGGGAGGGTGGGCACCGCCCTCATGAATAGATTACTGTCATTATCTCAGGAGTGGATTCCTTATAAAAGGATGAGTTCCACCCCTCTTTCTCTTTATCTCTCTCTCTCTTGCCTTTCTGGCATGTGATGTCTTCTGCCATGTTACAATGCAGAAAGAAGACCCTCACCAGATGCTGGCCACTTGGTCTTGGACTTCCCAGTCCCCAGACTGTGAGAAATTAATTTCTCCTATTTATAAATTGCCCTCTTTATAACAAGTATCTTGTTATAGCAGCACAAAGCAGACTAAGACACCCATACCCATCCTGATACTCATTATTAGAACATTAAGCATGTTTGTATATCCTGGTAAGCTATTACAATTCTTTTTATTTTATTTTATCTATTTTGAGACAGGGTCTCACTGTGTTGCCCAGGCTGGAGTGCAGTGGCGCGATCACAACTCACTACAGCCTGATCACCTGGCTCAAGTGACCCTCCAACCTCAACATTCTGAGTAGCTGAGACCACAGGCATGTGCCACCATATTTTTTTATTTTTTGTTGAGACAGGGTCTCACTATGTTGCCCAGGATGGTCTTGAACTCCTGGGCTCAGATGATCTACCACCTCAGCCTTTCAAAGTGTTGGGATTAGAGGCGTGAGCCACCGTGCCCGGCAAAATGATCATTTTAAAGATGAAGAAACTGAGGCACACACATCGATGCCTATACACACACACTCCCCAGATTGGGAAACAACCTGGCTCCTGCTCCTCAGTCCTGGGAAAGCTGGACTGGCACAAAGGCAGGCAGTTTTCTGGGCAGGAGTCTCCCTGCCCGGATCACCCCTCAGAGCCAGGACAGAACAGGGAGTCAGCAGGTGTCTGGCCTGAACATTCTGTCCTCTGCTTTGGCCCAGTTGGATTTCTGTAGAGAAATGCTCAATTATATCCTTTGCCCATCCTTGGCTTGAAACCAACCCTAGGCTTTTGCTATACCCTGGACTTGGAGTCCGTATCTTGATTGCATCCAGCTGAAGTCAGACAGCCTGACAGAAAGGAACGGGGTGGGGTGAATGAGGATGCGGAATGGGGGCCTGCCCTCTCCAGCAAGTTGTGGGGAGGCTGATGTGATGGCTGACCTTTCCTTTATTAAGCACCTATTACATGCCCAGTGCATTAAATATATTACCTTCCTGAGTTCTCACACTAGCCTTTGGGTTTCTGCTGGACTGTCCCCTTGACATGAGGAAACAGTGGCACTGATTGTTTAATTGACTTACTCAAGATCATGCAGCTTGTTAAGCATCAAGAGCCAGGATCTCAGCCCAGATCTGTCCTGTTCCAAAGCCATGCTCTTCATTATTCCCATCCTCCTCTCTTCTATCATCCCTGGGGGAGTCAAAGGGGAGGGACAAAGACGTCTTTGACCTGGGAGCCGTAGGGGATAGAGAGAGAGAGACCTTGGGCTTGTGGACATAAACAAAGACCACCCAAATGAGAGCAAGCAACAGTTATTTATTCAGAGCTTGCTACAATAAGGGAGTCAGCCACCATCACTTGCTTTTCATGGAGACTCAAAGGCAGGCAGAAGGGGAAGGCTTTACAGTGGAAAAAGGGGAAGGCTTCAGGTACACCCAGGTACGCGCTGTTGGTGCAGGAAGGCTACATTAGCGGAGCATATTCGGCTTTCTCCAGTTTGCCCTGCATTGGGAGTGGGGACAAAATTAGGGAAGCTGTCAGTTGCCATCCACTCCTGCCTTTCAGGGATGATTGCTGCAGGGTTGTTCCTTGACTTTCTGGGCTGTTACTTCAGGTTTTGGGGCAGAGTTCTACTTTAATATGTGGTCTGGCCATTGTCCATTTGCATATTTGGTCTTCCGGACCCATCCACATCAGGAGCGGGACCCCATCTGGCCTGGACCCAGCCAACCACTCCCCGCTCAGTGCCTCCTCCTTCTGAGGTTTCGGTCGGCCCTTCCTTTTATTTGTTTTTATTTATTTATTTATTTATTTATTTTTGAGACAGGGTCTTGCTCTGTCACCCAGGCCAGAGTGCAGTGGCACGACCTTGGCTCACTGCAGCCTCCAGCCCTCAGGTTCAAGTGATTCTCCTGCCTCAGCCTTCCAAGTAGCTGGGATTACAGGCATCCACCACCACGACCAGCTAATTTTTGTATTTTTAGTAGAGACGGGGTGTCACCATGTTGGCCAGGCTGGTCTTGAACTCCTGACCTCAGGTGATCCGCCCACCTTGGTCTCCCAAAGTGCTGGGATTACAGGTGTGAGCCACTGTGCCTGCCCTTTCTTGAGCCTCTAGTCCCAGCAAGTTTGGTTGTAGTTTGATGTGTATTAACTCTTAATTCTTATAATAACCCTGAAAGCTAAGGGTATTTGTTATTTATTGCTGCATCATAATACCCCAAATTGAGCAAACATTTATGATCTCATACTGTTTCTGAGGGCCAGGAACCTAGAAGCAGCTTAGGTGGGTGGTTCTGGTTAAAGGTCTCTCATGAGGTTGCAGTCAAGGTGTTGGACAGGACTGCAGCCATGTGAAAGCCTGACTAGGGAGGGGCCAGTGGCTTCCAAGGTGATCCCTCACATGGCTGTTGGCAGGAGGCCTCGGTTCCTCATTGGCTATTGGCAAGGGGATCCTCTGTTCCTCGCCACTGGACCTCTTCATGGGGCTGCTTGAGTGTCCTCATGACGTGGCGGCTGGCTTGCCTCAGAGTCACTCTTAAAGAAGGTGCTAGAAGGCGAGCCCCTGGATGGAAGGGAGAGGGACAGAAAAGCGAGGTTGCAGAGTGAAACATATCAGCTCTTATTGTAATTTACTCTTCACAGCAGGACTTGTAGAAAGAAATCATTAGCCCCAGTTGACAGAAGAGAAAACAGAAGCTGGGAAAGGAGGAAGATCTTGCCCCAGGTCACAGAGATGGTATTAGCACAGCCAGGATTTAAATCCTTAGTTACCTTACAACCAAGCGCAGACTCTTTCCAGCGCTTGGCATAGTGTGTGTTGGGGGTGGGGGTGGGGCTGCTTCATTGTTGGGGAAAGACTCCCCCCAGCCCAGGCTTAGGGGGGCTCAGGAGCCTAAGGGGAGTCTGTCAACTGGCTGCCTTCCCCTGCCCTAGAGAAAAGAAAGCCAGTACCTCTGGGCCCAGTCGCCACCCACACGGGACTATTTTTACCCTCCACCTCAGGCACATGTCTGCATTTCCCAGCTCTGGAAGGGCCATCTGGGCAGTCCGGCTACCCCAGGAAGAGCTGCCACCCGGAGCTTTATGCCCTGCTGTCTCTGCAGCTGTTTCTGGCTGAACCTTTAGCCCTCTGCCATGCCTGGGCCATCCAGAGTCAGTGAGAA